TAGAAGATAGGAAGTTATTAAACTTAGAAGGTTCAGAACTCAGATTTGGATTTCAAGCCCCCAAACTCTGGAACGACCTGCCGGATGAGATCCGTCAGTTGACATCATTAGACAGCTTTAAAAAAGCTGTCAAGACGGATCTCTTCCGGCAGGCCTTTCCAGATTAACCATCCCAGCCCAGGCTCCCTGATCCATTCATTCCTCCCGTGGCCCCATCTTTAGTGATGGTTGAGGATCTCCAGAGGGACACCAGGGTTTTTAATTTGTTTTAATTATGGTTTTATGTTCTGATATTGTGTTTTTAATTTGTCATATTGTTTAATACTTTCTTAAGGGGGGGGAGGGATTATACTGTTTTAATGTTATATTTTAATCTTGTTATATTTTACTGTTGTCAACCGTCCAGATTGGTTCGCCACAGGGCGGTATACAAATAATTATTATTATTATTATTATTATTATTATTATTATTAAGTATACTTATGGTAAGGTACAAGCGAATCAGGATTTTAATAATCACTTTGTTAGAGTTTTGCTATATCGGGTATGGAAAAAGTACAAAAAGAGAATATGCCCCAAGATCCCATTATGGGTATCATCTCATGAAGTCCTATTTAGAGCAGACCCACAGAGGGGGGAAAAATGCATTATTAGAGAATGTTTATAGTGGATATGAAATGAAAACCCTAGAACAATTGAGGTCAGAAGGGTGAGAATATGGTTGGTTCTTTTATTGACAATTGAAATCAAGATTTATAATGGATAAAAAAACACTTGGGATAACAAGTGTTAAAACTGACTTAGAAGAAACTATTTGGTCGGAGAATGCTGGATGCTCTTCTATCCAGAATGTACAAAAAAACTATTAAAAATTTACACAGAAGAATTAATAAACGAAAACATGACTGAATGGGCCAAAAATAGAATTAAGTCAATGGGATTGGTCCTGGAATATGAGACTAAATACACGGCCAGTCAGGATGTCAGAGAAAATTATTATAAAATCCTATATAGATGGCATCTTTCTTCAGACAGAACAAGTAAAATATATGGAACAGGGAAAAATCAGTGTTGGAAATGTGAAAGGGAAAAGGGTACATTTTTTCGTTTATGGTGGACTTGGACAGAAGCAAAAAGATATTGGAAAGAAGTTCAAATAAGTATAAATGAAATATTAGAAATTAAATTAGAATTTAGACCTGAAGTATTGCTTTTGAACATGCTTGGCAATAATATTGAAAAAATATGGAAGAATCTAATGGCAGCTAGATTAGTTTATGCTAAATATTGAAAAATAAGAAAAGAAATACAAATTGATGAATGGGTTATTAAGTTTTTTGATATGATTGAGATGGATTTAATGTTGAAGAAATTAAGTGAAAATCTAAAAGAAACCACAATAGAAGACTGGGATAAAGCTTACATATATATAAAGAAGAAATGGGAGACTATATCAACTAGAGTCACCCCTCTGTTTTAGCAGACTTGAAGTCCATGGTCTTGATTATTTATGGAGGAGCGATCTCCATTGGCTAAAATGGCATGAGTGCCTGTGGCATGTACATAGAGCTGCGTGCAGGAGCTCACACCCATTCAAGCCAATGGGGCTTGAATATCTGCAATATTTAATTTTTGTGGGGGTGTGTGGGTCTGGAACAGATCCCCTGTGAAAAAGGACTGCATAAGAATTATAGAAAATTAAGAAAAAGAGTAATAAACATCCCTCTTTGTATACGGTAAATGTAAGACTAGGGGAAAAAAAAAGAAATAATAGTACTACGGATAAGGGTATTATATATTGACTGGAAGGGTAAACAATTTAAACAAATAACATTTTTTTTGGAATTGCAGAGTTGCATGATATGCAGAGATGAGAAACAAAGATATGAATTGGTGGAGGGATGGTTCTAGGAAGTACTAAATGGATTGTATGAATTGACTTGTCAGTCCTTTTAAATATGTTATATCATGTTTGACTATGTTTTGTTTTGTTGTGACGATGTTGTAAGAATATGTTAGTTTGATAGCAGGGACATATGATTGTAAATGTAGTTATTTTAACGAAAATAAAATTGTAAAAAATAACAAATAAAAAAGCCAAGAATTTTTGGGTTCAAATTCATACTCGGATGCAGAGAATTTTAAAGATTAACATTAAGTTAAAACCAGAACTCTTTCTTTTGGGAATTGTGGATGAGCAGCTAGAGAACAAATATTGACAATTGCTTCAACACAAGACCAGAGCAGCAAGATATGGAAATGGAAGAATTTAGTATTATCTATGAAGGATTACGTTGCCCCTCCCAATTCACGGGGGATTCATTCCAGACCCCCTTGTAAAAATGGTGACTCGCACATATTTGAGTCCCATAGAAAATAATGGTGTGCACGAGGGTGCGCACCACCATTTTATTAATGGCCACTTGTCTCTCCCATGAGGAACAAGACTGCACATTCCAAGCCCATGAAAAGGGAGGGATAACTGTACCTTCTTCAAAAATGGAAGAATTCAGTATTACCTGCGAAGGAGGAGTGGTTGCTGAAAGTGATGGTTTTGGCAGAGATGGACAAATTATTTTGTCTGATTAGAGAAAAATCAATTGTGACATTCTTAAAAGATTGGAAACCCTTTATTGACTTTTTGCAGTAAAAAGAAACTGATTAGTCAAATTTGATAATTATTAGGATCTGAAATAATGGAAGAAGTGTTTGAGGGTATGTGTTCTGATAGAGAGTTCTGGTTATAGCCTTAACATTTGTAACTGCTGTGAAGATAGTCAGAAACCATATCTTTTTCTTTTTGTATTTCTGTTTATATTTCTTTTCTTTTTTCTTTTTTCATCTATATTTTCTTCTATTTTTTCCCTTTTGTATTCTTTACTTATGTAGTATTTTTAGTGTAACTGAAAATCTTAATAAAAACAATTATAAAAATAATGGGGAAAACATCATGTAGATCTCAGTAAATAAATAAATAGGAAAGGACAGGACAGGACAGGACAGAAACAAAACCAGAGAATTTTATTTTAGTCCCAGATGAGTTTTTCCAGTCCTGGGTAAGCCCTTACAGTCTTTCCTATACTAGAGAATCAATAGTCAGTCTCTCTGATCAGGGTCAGTCCACGGTCTGGTGCAACATGCTCAATGTCCCACCACACGGGATAACCACACACAGATCCAAAGTTTCCTAGTCTCAACCACAGCATATTCCTGGCTTCAACAAATTACAAAGCAGATGCATGATCTTGGTATGTGTCTTCAAGCTGACTCTGATTCTTTCAGAGGAAGTTTGCCCTTGTCTTCCTTTAAGGCTAGGAAAATGTGACTTGCTCAAGGTCACCAGTGGGTTTCCATGGCTGAGCAGAGATTCATACTCTGGTCTCCCAGAGTCCTATTCCAACATTCAAAGCATTATACCATGCTGATTCTCACAACTACATGATATATAACACAGTCATGGGACATATATTGGTGAACAAAATTGTCTGCACTAAATCATACTTCCAGCAGAGACAGGAAGGAGATGAAAATGAAAACACACTCTGTTTCAGAAATCCATGCTCATTGGAAAGAAGGCCTCAAGCAAATGAGGGTATGAATTTCCAAGATCTGGGAGGTGTGTTGATGCAAGCTCAGATAATTGCTTGCTCTTTTGCATTACTTTGGTTAAAAAAAAAAAAGAGTCACTTTTGCCACTTTTTCTTTACATCTGATACTCAGTTTAAGGTGTGCTGGTTCGAGAACAAATTTACAAGCCCACTCTTGCTTGGATGTGGATAATGACAAATTTATAAGGCTGAAGCATTCATCTAAGTGAATAACAGTCAGGATGAACTTTGTTCTGACGTTTAATCTATAACTGTGTTTACTATGGCTCAGAGGATAGACTAATAAAATGTGAGAATGTTGATAAAAATATTTATAGTTTACTCAATGTGGTTGGAAAGTTTATAGACATTTAAGCAAATTTGTCAGAACTCTGACTTTCTCATGGAAATTCTGGACATGGGAAACAGGATTGCAGATATCTTCACTTTGGACGTTATCACATGGGGTCTAAAGCAGCCCCATCCCTGCATCATCCCCGTCCCATTCCGGATCCTTTGCCCCTGTGATCAGACGACGTCGCAGCAAACCCCACCCATCCCTGCATCATCCCTGGCGCATTGCTGCATCATCCCAGTTCTTTGCAATTCCTCTTTCAAAGAGGAATTACAGCTGCCGCGACCAGAATCAATCCAGAACCATTCCGGTATGATGCTGCTTTCTTGTCTGATAAATGGGGTCCATTCCGGTATGGTTCTGGATTGATTCCATGCCGCTTTTCTTTCCGCTTTGAGACCCCTGGTGTGATAACGTCCTTAGAGGCTGAATCACACCACCAAAATAATTCATCCTCTGTACACAGTATCCTGCCCTGAAGATTCAAATTGGTCTTCAAAGCCACCCGCATTTCCTCCTTTTGGAGGGACATTGGTATAAAAGGGTGGTTCTACCACGGTCATGTCTTCAATGTACTGGATTATTTTAGGTCATATGACTACAATGGCTGTGGTCTTCTTCTTCCCAGCATGCGTGTGGATGCATGTGGATATCCATTCATCACATATCCATATAATACTCGTTTCTTGTCATTCTTACCACCCACCTACACTCCCATTGAATGGCTTGTTTATGGTTCCCTTGCAATATCCCCTGGTTCACTTTCCTTCTCTTTTCCCTCTTTTCCTCATCCTCTGTGTGTGTGTGTGTGTGTGTGTGTGTGTGTATTGGAAGAATTAAATGCCTCCTCATTCAGTTTATGTCACAAAATTTAAAGTACCCCATAACCCTTCAAGATTGCTGCTTTTGTTGTGTGCCTTTGAGTCATTTCTGATTTACGGCAACCCTAAATCCCATTAAATCATGGGGTTTTCTTGGCAAGTTTCTTCAGGATGCCATTGCCATCCTCTGAGGCTGAAAGAGTGTGACTTGGTCAAGGTCACCTCAACAAGTTTTCATGGCCGAGCTGGGATTCGAACCTTGGTCTCGAGTCATAGTCCTATGCTCAAACCACTACACCACACCATCTCCCACTCCTTCCAGATTAACAAAATTAAAAAAAACACACCACACAACCCCTCCTACAGAATGGATCATCTAGTTTGTAAACCTAATCCAGCAAATCCTGCAAAAATTACAGCCCAACCCTCTCCATGTTTCTTTGAATCTATTTCTTGCTGCAGAATGTATTCTCCAATAGGGCTGTAATCCTCTCTCCTCTTACTTGTGAGTCCCACTGAATTCAAATTGACTTACCTTCTGTGTTGGAAAGTATAAAACCACACTTTTAATGAACAGTAGGGCAAAGGCGTTGGTGGGGGCATTTGAGGGTCCTTCAGGTGGAAGAGAGGATCAATCCCTGATTGTTCCCAACTTGAGGATGTTGTTTTCCTCAACATCCACATCTGACAAATATGGTGTCAACATTTTTTTAAAGCTCAGTGTATGTATGCATCCATACAGAGAGCTGCACATTCAACTATCTGAAGGGACCCCTCTGGAAATTCAAATAAGCAGATATCAATATACACATATACAATGAACTAAACAAAAAATGTCAATACCAGGCTTGCTGGAGGTGGATGCCAAGGTAAACCCCTTTGGGACTCTTCCTGCTGTGAATTTTGCCCACCTCCCACACATACATATACAGAATATAAAAGGACTTGAGTTTTGCCACCACAATACGAATCACATTCTTGCCTGGCCACTCTCCTTTTCCCCTCTCCACTGAAATGCACCATGACTTTGACTGTGATTTTCTTCTGTAAATGTTATTATTCCATTTACATCTCTGGTATTTTACTGGAAGTCAAGACATTTTGCTGCCTTTTATTGGATTTTTCATTTGAATAAAGAGTATTCAAAATTTTTCACACTAAGGATGTTATCACACATGGCCCAGAAACTGAAAATAAAGTGGAA